AATTTTAAAATATGTCACTGCACTTTTTAATGAAAAATCATCAGTGAAACTCTTTGCAGCAAACAGATATGGAGCATGTGTTAAATTAACCTGAATTGGTCCATTAATACGTGTGTAGCAGGAAGATCTGAGGACCAAAGTGAAAACTGCCACTGCTCTGCCAAAACACTGCTATAGATTGCCCTGTGTATATCTGCACAATTGTTTCACAGTTGCAGTATAAGCACACAAAGACCTAGGGAAACAAGTGCTGCAAAAAACCCTGAAGATTCCTAAGAATTTTCCTCCCATTTGTAACTTGATGACTCCATCCATGAAGAATGTACATAATAAAATTGTAAAGTGCTCCTCTATTCTTTCAAAATATCACTGCACTATACTTTCTTTCTGAATAAGGCAGGTATAGTCATCACAGCAGCCTTTTTATGCTGGCAGCATTATCAATGCATTCAGAAAATAATATGCATTTGTCATATTTCCCATACTCTGCAATGTCAGAATATTTGATATATCACTTGAAAACAGGGAAAGAGCGATCAACAGTTTCCTCTTCCTGAGAGGGATAATCCATCAATTCTAAAGCACCAGAAAGGACATATACAAAGATTTTAAACATAAAACGTTTGTAAATGTTTTAAAAAATTGGGTTCCATGTAAAGTAAATAACTATAATTATTTTATTCCTGATTATTAGGAATGTATTGAAGGTGAAAGTAATAGAAGGCGAACATTTTCTGACATAAAGCCATGACTGTCACATATTCAGCTACATTAACCAAAAAGGAGCATGCAGGTCCACAGGGAGCATAAGACTATCCAGTCCCCTCAAAGCTGAAAGTCCTACTGTTGTTTAAAATGAAAGTATAAGAAAGTTACAATCTTAGATTCCAAGACAATATCTAAGAAAGCAACATTTTTTATTCATGCCATACACTATTAACTATTCATTCTCAATGTACAAACTGGATTGCAGAGAAGAAATAAAACAAGTTTTCCCATTTTATGCTGTTCAAGATTTAGAAATGCTTCCCGTCACTGGGATCTGAGAAAGCAATTCGAGCTCAAAATATGGGTATTGCCTATAACAAAAAATAGGGCAAAATTTAGAGTATTCATGTATCCTTCACATCAAATCAGTCCTTTTCCGTTCTGAAACTCAAAGGTATATACCGAAATGCACAAAGACATGCTGATCTCTCTCTTCTGTGATGTGGTTTTTTTTTAGCAAAAAACTCGATTCTAGGCATGAGAAACATTTCCCAATATGAGTTTAATCACAACTGATTGTAAAAGAAGTTGACAAGAAGTTGTGATGAATTTAGCATTTTGGGTGAGGACAGCTAATAGCAATGTGAACTGCTCATCTGCCAACTAGATTTAGCTTGGAGCTAAAAGCTTGAAAACATCTTGAAATACTCCTTTCATTGGACATTATTCTCTGCATAATTTGCCTGTTGGATCTGTCACCTGAACCTCCATAACCTGTATTTATTTACTTTTGATTCCAAATCAAGCAAACCCACTGCTTTCAACAGCACTGTTAAACGCCAGTAATACTTCACTGGCTGTTAGTAAAGCACCTGCATTACACAGGACAGAGATATACTGATGTATTTCATCCAGCTATGTACATGACCTACCTCTCACTGATTCTAGCATGCACCAGTTCCTACTGTTACCAAACAAATTAGTAACATTATTAACTAAAACAGGACTAAATTCTGAGGCAAAGTGACACACATAGCTGTAATGATGCTCCACGACACCTTATACCCTGGGTCACCACTCTGCTCTTGCCTTGTCGTTGAGACCCTGGACATAGTTATCATTCTATGCAGGCTTTTTTTTTTTTTTTTTTTTTTTTTTCCCCATGAAATTGTCTGAAATAATAGTGGGTTTGTCCAACAGATTATCATATAGTAGTTCATCCCCAGTGTTAATCCCAAAGGTTGTACAGCATGGTGTAGGCACAGCATGAAGATATGCAACAGCGTTAGAGGATGCAGAGCTAGCCAGGGTAGCATTGGAGAGACATGCAGCATTCAGGAATCCAAATATTTGGTAAATAACTGCTATCTAACAGCTATCTCTGGGAGTGGCCCCTAGAGTGAACTTGAGCTTTGTCTGAGAGAGAGAGAACATATGAACCCTCCAAAACCAAGCAAAATACAAAATTTAAACCTACATCAATTTGACACAATTGATGCAACTAAATCATTTTTTAAATTTCATTTTTTTCAGCACTCTTAGGTGCCTACTGACAAACCATGACTGATAAACTATGCCTCCAGACCAGAAATAAACTATGAATCTATTTGAAAAATCATTTCAAAGGTATTATAGCTTGAGGGTGTTCAGCTGGCCTAAGACCAACCTACATCCGGATGGAAACCCAGGTAAGCCTCATAGCAAAAAGAGGAAGGGAAACTTCCTCCAGCAGCAAGGAAGACTCTTATGCCACAAGAATGTAACAAAGCTTTTAACCCTTAACCCACACCACATGTCCTGGGATTCACTCCCCAAGGCATTTCATAACTCCAAAAGGCAGGGGTGTTCACATCAACAGAACAATAATCACAGTTTTATACCTATTTTTTTCCCCTCTTACTTTCCCCTTTTTTCCCCTAGCTGCTAGAGAAGCAGCTGCAAAGCTCCACATGGAAGAAGAAACAGATTTGCTCACCCATCTGTTTAGCAAATTTCACATTGAGGAAAACAGTATCGTTTTTTTGTTTGCTTGTTTTTTTTTCCCCACACATGAAGCACTTTACATGACTGAGATTAATTAGAAAATTTCTTCTGTTGTAGGCATTACATACAATCCTACTACCATAGCACTATTTTCCCAGCAGATACAGACAGATGTAGCTGATGCTACGTTTGAAGCATAACGTGCTCCCTACTCTGTCATCAACCCTCCTGCTTCAATAAGTGTGTCTCTCTTTCAGCAAGCAAAATGGTCCGGAACACAAGCAAGCAACACAGTAGAAATGGAGAACTGGTGCCAAATCAGTCATTGCACTAAGAGAAAGCTTATATTCTTTAGCAAAAATGGTGATGATAATACCAGATTACATCACCCACTGCCCTGGGGAAAGGACCTTCCCAGGCACTGTAGTCTACAGCTCCACATCATGATAGCTGAAACAGAGCAATGTATTGTCATGCTTCCAAGGGACAAAGTAGCACATAGCTAACATGCAAGAAATGTAAAAATTTCAGCTAAAAGTAAGAAAATGTTTTTGGGATCAGGGGAAAGGAGGCAGAACAGCAACATTTGTTCCTCTGTCACTCGTATTTTTATTTTGTCTAGCGTATTCTATTGGGAAACAGTATACATACTCCGTTTAAAATTCAGCTTACTACCCTAATTCTATCATATATTCCAATATCATAGAACAAGATGCAGTTCTGTGAATTGAAAGTCGCACTCAAAAAAGTCCTCACAATAGCTCAGAATTTGCTTATGCCTTTCATGGCTGAGTTGCTCAGACCCTTTTTTTGTTTTTTGATATACTGTGCTTCAAGCCTCTGTAGGTAAATGGTATTGCTGAGGAAGAAATGTACACTTTTTCTTCTCTACAAGTGCTGAAGTTCAGTTTAAAAGCCACTAATTTAAAGACACTGGTAACCTACAGCATTGAAATCAGTATATCACTTTATCATCAGAATTACAGTATTATTTGTTCTTAAAATTAGTAGTTATCTGACCTCAATATTCTACGTAACCCAGAAAAGTCAGAAAAAGCCCAAGGAACATAACAAGCTGAAACAATCTTTGGACAATAATATGCCAGGTAAGTCTCACATATCTTACTTAATCAGGGACAGGACGAGGGAAGGCAGATATTCAGCTGATTAGAACAGCTGTTTCAAACAAGCCATTTTGAGTGATCACAGAATCATTACCACCTGAGATGGAAGAACCCCTGAAAGCACCTTGGAACACATTATGCTCCTTCTGGAAATCCAAATTGCTCCAGCTACCTCCTAATGAAGTCTGGGTTTGTCACTTTTTCTTTCCATTTCACATAAAATTTCAATGGAAAAAGAACTGCTTTAGCATTTACTATAATTGAGCAGCTACTGATTAGCTTTGCAGTAAAAATGGAGTTGCTGATTATGGGAAAGGACACATGGTACACAATTATAAGACTGCTACATCTGAACATACTAAGATGCAAGTAACAATGATTACCAGGAGATTAATTGAGGGAAATATGATAGTCCCTAAAAAGTGAACAGTGTTTCACTTGCAAAAATATGCCAGTGAAAAATTTGTACTACTCAAGGTAATCCAACAGTGATTTTATATATTTGATTTCTTAAAATAATTTTTTTAAAAAGCTTATGATTTTATAGATGAAAGAAAATATGCGTCTATCAGATTGATCAAGACTTTTTTAAACAACTTAAGCGAGAAATATAAAGGAGACACATTTAATCATTCTAAATTACAGAGATGGTAGAACAGATGAAGTTAAGGGTGGGAAAAGTTGAAAAAATTATTCCACTCTTGAAGAAACAACCTTCACTGAGTGCAAACCAGGGAAAGATTGATGAAAAAATCCAGTGGGAGAAAACCAACAGTGAGGGGATGGCATCAGTGTACTATGCCTGTTATAAGGAAAATCCAGCATATTTCTGAACCTAAGCTGTAAAATCAGCACCTTGAGCACATGGTCCTTATACTGAGAAAGAACACCTTGGTGTTCAAGCTTTTGCTTTTAAATGTTGGAAGATATCCCCTAAATTTTGGAATATGTTTAATAGTTTGTGTCAACACCTCAAGCTTAGTACAAGAAAAAGAAATCCATTTCTAGAAGCCAGAAAATATCATGATTAAAATTACAATTATTAGTAAAAGTAGATAATGAGAGTTTGAAGGAAAATGGGCACTTCCCTCTGAAGACACCGTAGAAGGCAGTGGTCAGTTTGTGTTTCAAACATATTCTTATTCAAAGTAATGCTTATAAATACATTTTAATGCTCATTCTTACCAACGATTTCACTCGGCTCCTTATTATACAGTTTTTTGTTCCAGTAAAGAAGTCCAAGAAAAGGAAAGGAAACCAGAACAACAAGGCAGATTCCAATAAACATATGTCCTGTGAAGGCTGCAAAATCCAATCCCTGGAAATGCAATTGAAAACCCAAATTAAAAATCAGTTACTTTCCTATAACACCTACAGGGAAAAGTATTCAACTGTATACACTTTAGAAATCATCAATAAATACAAAGCAATAAAGTTCCCTGTACAGTACACACGGCATTTCATCTGTTTCAAGGAAAATAACTACATTACAATGTAATTCAGAGAGCTCAAAAATAACATTACAAGTTATTCTGATGTACATTTAGGCTACCTAAAACAGATGAAAAAAAAAAAATCACTATAATCTCTATAATCACTTAAATCACTCTACATTCATTTTCAATCATATTGAATCACAGGAATAGTTAAATTTTAATGGCCAACTTTTTGTCCTAAACAGATAACAATATGTATTTTACAATAAGCCTATCAGAACCAGGATTTCACATAAGAAGCAAGATGGTGTTTTTTGTTTAAGAAAAAAAATAATAGTTTTCAGGCAAGCACAATTAAATAAATTTCAAGCACGAATACAAACACCTGGGACATAAGACTTAAAAACACCGAAAGTACAAAACAGTTATACCTAAATCTGACTGGAAAAAAAATGTTATCTTCTGAGTAACAAAATGACCAGAAAAAAGCTGGTTGAGGAGCAATGCAGTAAGGTCAGAATATTCCCAACCTACAGTTACCAAAACCTGAAAAATTACATTTGCACCTGACCTACTGTCAATAACCAACCACAAATCTTCCTTAATCTGGCAGCAACATGTTCACATTGTGAGAGAGAACACCTATTTCCAGGCAGAGTATTCTCTGCAGAGATACTCAGGCATGAATCTAATTGCTACTATTGGAAAGAAGAAAAGAAATAGGAACCTGAAGATTACTTGGAAACTCTGGAGTTCAAGCTGGTGACATTCCCATGATATGATAATAGAATTTAAGTTCAATGTCAATTCTATTAACACAGTCACTAAGATTTACAAAGTCACTTGCTTGGAAGTTCTGAATATCAAGAAACAATTTTAAAGCAAAACAATTGTGCTTTGTTATTAAAGTTCTGCAATGCAGAAGCTTCTCAAACAAAAGATACAGCACAAGAAACGTGCTGCTTAAAACCTACAAAACTAATTTCTCTATGGGAAGGAGAATCACATCAATCTCAAAGGCAAACAGAAACAATGAGGTTAATAGGAAGGTTTGACTGATAGTTGAAAGGAATTGAAATGTGATAGAGGTCACAAACTCTTAAAAGTCAGAATTAACGCAGTTGATGACACAAATGAGCCTTTAAGAGTGATTTGCAGACACCAACATGAGAGAAAAAAAATGTCAGCCTAATTTTTGACATTGGGAGTTTTTAACTTTAAAAAGAGTATCTGCTCTGAGATACAAAATTTTGTTGAACTTCATAATATCACCGCATTGATTTTTCTTGTATCTGAGGGTTTTGAGAAGCAAGAAAAAATTATGCTCTGCTTTGATCGCAAAATAGCCTTCCAATTCAGCTGAAACAAATCATTTTGTGACATGGAAAACATTTATGGAAAGAGTTTGCACAGAGATATTGCTCATGATAGCGCAAGGCTGGATCCAATTCTCTTCCCATACCTCATTCCCAACTTTCCTCCTCATTTCGTACTTCCAATGATCCTCAAGAGTCTGTGCACAAAAATGAAACCTGATGGTCATTAGCACCTTGTAAAACTTGTACCCTGTACATGAGGAAGACTGCCACCAAGTATAATCCTTTTTGCTCCTCATGCTAAAAGGGCTCATGGTGGAAACCAGTTTGCTGCACATTCTGGTGCTTGGGGCTGGGTGCTTAGCACAGAATCACAGAATGGCCTGGGTTGGAAGGGACTTCAAGGATCATGAATCCCCAACCCCCTGCCACATGCAGGGCCACCAACCTCCACACTTAATACTAGACAAGGCTGCCCAGGGCCCCATCCAATCTGGTCTTGAACACCTCCAGGGACGGGGCATCCACAACCTCTCTGGGCAGCCTGTTCCAGCACCTCACCACTCTCTGGATAAAGAATTTCCCCCTGATGTCCAACCTAAATCTCCCCTCCCTCAACTTAAAACCATTTCCCCTTGTCCTGCAGCTATCAACCCTCTCAAAGAGTCGATTCCCCTCCGGTTTGTAGGCTCCCTTTAGGTATTGAAAGACTGCAGTGAGGTCACCCCACAGCCTTCTTTTCTCCAGGTTGAGAAGCTCCTTCAGCCTGTCCTCATAGGGGTGCTCCAGTCCCCTGATCATCTTTGTGGCTCTCGTCTGGACCCTCTCCAACAGCTCTCTGTCTTTCTTGTACTGGGAGCTCCAGACCTGGACGCAGTACTCAAGATGGGGCCTCACAAGAGCAGAGTAGAGGGGGACAATCACCTCCCTGTCCCTGCTGGCCACCCCTCTTTTGATGGAGCCCAGGATACCATTTGCCTTCTGAGCCACAAGGGCACACTGCTGGCTCATGTTGAGTTTTTCATCTATCAAGACCCCCAGGTCCTTCTCCACAGGGCTGCTATCAGGGACCGCTCCTTCCAGTCTGTACAGATGCCTGGGATTCCTCTGGCCCAACTGCAAAACTCTGCACTTTGCCGTGTTGAACCTCATCAGGTTCACCTAGGCCCACCTTTCTAGCCTGTCAAGGTCCCTCTGAATGGCATCCCTTCCTTCTACCATGTAAACCGCACCACTCAGCTTGGTGTCGTCAGCAAACTTGCTGAGGGTGCACTTGATACCATCATCAATGTCATTGATAAAGATCTTAAAGAGCACGAGTACACAGACTATGTTTCCAGTACACAAAATATGTTTTCATGACCAGAGAAAGTAGATTTCACACATTGCCAAATAATTAGCAGTTAACTGGCAGAGTCTTGGAGAACTTTTAGAGATCATTTCTATCTTCCAAAATGGAAAATAGAGAATAGGAAAGGGAACGGGATGAAGAGGAAGGAGATTATCAAAGCCACAGTCTTGGAATGTAGTGATGCATTGCTGTGTTATTCTGACAGAGAAACCATAACAACAGAGATCCCTGGGCTCCTTGCTGCCGTGTTACAAAGGATTTATGTTGTACTTCAGACAGAAGGGACATAGAAAAGGATCCCAAGACTGTGGCACACTTCATCAGTGGCTTTTGCTCCCTTGCCCACTCTCTAGTAAGGACATGCAACATCTACACAGAGCAAATATTCATGCTCCATGTGTTTTTTGTACTGCCTGAGTTCTCTGCACTGCTGGGGCTAAGGTTCAGCATTTATAAAAATACTTTAAAGTGCTCCACATTTGCTGCATACAACAAAATGTCATTTTCATAAAGATTTTCTGAACAATAGACTGAAATAGAATTGACATGCACAATAGGCAAGAAATACTTTCTTCCAGGGGATTTCAATCCATCAGATAAATACAATGCATGCCTCAAATGTCCCTTACTTGAGGCTATGCTGATTGTGTTAAATTTCTGCTGTTCTCCAGACAACAATGAAAATCTAAAGATTTCGTTTTAACAAAACAAGAACCTAAAGGTTCCACTGCCTACAGACTCAAAGCTGAAATACTGGGCATCTTTCTATGCTTTATGGTTTTAAATACAAAGTCAAATATATCAGTTTCGCCCTAGGAGGAAGCGTCATTCTGTTTTCCTTAAACACTGGCTTTCTTTCATCCTGGTCTACTGTGGTTGTTTGTCCAAGGACATGGGGGAGGTTGGGGGCTGACTGATTTTGGAGATGTGAAATCAACTTCTAGTAATTCAGACACTGCCAGAACAATAAAGCCATTTCATAGCAAAGAGAAAACAAAAATTATTACTAGGTGCAGTAATTCAGAGGTCGACAAATGCTGGGCTTCTACTCAGAGTGCCCTTCATTAAATTTTTTAAAGCCAATAAAATGAGGAAGAGTGAAAGTGATTTATTATTTCTACGCTGGATTAAACATTCCTTCCAGCCGAGTGACTGAGATTTGTGTTGTCTCAGGAGGAGCTGCTCATGATGTTGCTGAGACAGAAATCACTGATAGTCTAACACAGTTACATTAAGGTATCTGAGATATTGATGAGCACCGCTTTTTGTCCTGCACTGTACTCTTTAATAATCACTACATGCAGAGATAGGAAAAAAAATCTGAAATCTGCCATAAAGCCATACATTTTATTTCATGTACCTTACTTAGGGTTTCATCTTTCTTGAGAAAAGAAATCAATGAAACACTGACAGAAAGAACAGGCAATTTACAAAATGATTAAAAGTTTTACCAAGCAAACTCAATAAGAATAGCCTAATAAGCTATGGGAATCCATTTCACAATCTGCTGGAGCCTGAAATACATTAACAGATTCATACATAGGATTTTCTCTCTTCTATTGGTCAGAATTATCTACTTCTATTCATAGATTTTTGGCACCATAATTTGCCTTGAAATACCAACACCAACTAATATTGCAGCATGCTAAATTTCAGCACAAAGATTAAAAATCTCTTTAATGCAGGACAGATGATCCTGATGGCTGCCCGTTTTTTGGGGAATTCATGTCAAATGGCAACTTTGAGTACAATGCTGAATGTCCAAAATCTTTTGAAAACATCAGATAAACAGCACAAGCTTTATCACACTTCATAACAACACTATAAATAGCCAGAGTCCTGTGAGAGAATACAATCCAGTGGTTAGCATAAGATAAAATTATCCTTGCTCTTATCATTATCACTTTTAGATATATTAAAGCTTGATACACTAGTAGACACCTCTTCACCATTCATTCTCTTAAGATTCTGTAATCACATCCTAAGCTTAGAGCCCAAGTAATTTCCAATTTCAAAGGTATGATTGCAGATACTTGGGAAGTACCCAAAGACAGAGGACCTTTCTGAAAGCAGTGAATGGTTCGAGCTGATTTGTGCCATGCTATGTACATAAAATGGAGTTCCCAAAGTATGAAGCACATATCTCTTCAAGATAAAAATATAACTTTTGTTCATAAAGTCCTAAAGAGGAAAAACCAATTGCAATTTTCTGCAGGAAACAGGAATAGACCCTTCAAATAATACTGCATGAAATATTTCCAAAACATCACTAAAATAAACAATTGCATTCAAGAATTTTTACCCCTGAAACACTCAAAAAAAAAAAAAAAAAAAAAAAAAATTTTACTCAATACAAATATAGCAGGTATTCCATAAATTTTAAATGCAGGCTTGAGTTTGATCCTATATCTCATCCTCACAGCACCTGTTACTAGAATTAATTTCCTAAAAAAAGACAACATCTACATTATATCTACTGAATAAAAGGAAGCTTGCTAATGAAGATGGACAAAATCAGGAACAGAGAAATCAGTCCAATAGCAGAGACTGCAGGAATCCAGATGATCCTTCCCTGCCCTCACTCTTGCTTTAGCGCTCTACCAGGCAGATCTCCTCAGCCATAAGCAAAGGGGACAAAAATAGTGAAGACAGATGAAATACCACCTCAGAGCCAAGGATATGTCTTTGACCTTCTCTCATTTAGATACGGAGATGTAACATATGAGAACACAGAAAAGAAGAACAAGTCTCATGGTTCTGTCTATTTTCTGACGCCTTTATTTCTGTGGTCCAACTCAGATCTGAAAATACTCCAGAGTTAAAATGCTTGCAAAGTTTTTCTGCTTGTTTCAAGTACAGAATTTGGAACTCAGTATTTGTCAAGTTTGCTACAGTATTTGTACATCTGAGTCCTCCTAAAATTATCAATACCACGTTCAAGTAAAATAAAAATTGTTTCCTTTCAATGTGATGGCTTAATTGCTTCCTGTGTTTGTGGCCCCTGCTAAAGTTTCTATGGAAATGATGAGTTCCTGAGTTTTTTGGAAAATGACCTCTGTGGCAGGTGCTAATTATTTTCTTTTAGAAAAGACAAGTTGAAAAAATTGCACTGATTTTATGTTTAAAAATATAAAAATTAGCAATCAGATCTTTAGTGAAGAATATTGCAGTCTCCAAAGTCACAGTTCAACAAAACTAATTGCAGTTACCTTTTAAATATTTTGAGAGTAAACATTTAATTAATTCAACACTATTAACTTTCAAAGACATTTTCCAACCTGGACAGTATTTAAATAATTTGAGTGTACGCAGTTAATTAGAAAATAATATTTTTAACACAACAGAACTGTTGTGATTAAAAAAAACTGACTCAATAAAAAACCAAAACAAAACACTTTTATAGAAAAAACCCACATTCCTCTTGCACAGATATTTTCATACTAGCCCATATACTAGCATCAAATTCCTTTGAATTTATGTATGGCATTAGTGACAAAGTTATTTGGCGTTTATGAAACCTGTATAAAATAGAAGACACCTGCTTGGTGGCTTGGTGTCCCTACAGGATGGAGAGGGCCATATAGGTGGGAGGAGATAGTGTGACCAGCACATTTCAATTGGCAGGTGTCTGGAGTGTTTCTGTTCCACTCAGCACCTGGCACCGTAAACTTCCCTTTGGTACCAGTCACCCAGTAAAGTGAAGAAACAATTTTATCCATAAATGGAAGAGGCAAGAGAAGGAAGTTAGAATCTCCCATTGTACCTGGGGATAGCACTGGGAGGTAGAAGGTGGGAGACAACTGTGCCCATGCTGCATGCAGAAGCCCCACTCAGCTCTCCATATCCCAAAGGGCCATGGTTGGAGGATAAAGACATCACCTGCAGCTGGGCTGCATGTGATAGGTCTACAGGAGTAGTGTCACCTCTCATGGTGTGGGGGTGGTGTGCACGGACAGTTATACCTGGTTTTAAAGTCCTAAGAAGGAACTGAGTGATCTCAATATATTTAAATTTTGAGAGAAAACTCATTCTGTACAAAAGCTTTAGATTTTCATCTTCTTTCTTGTATCCATTTCTTATTTTTCGAAACTTTCTGCATTTACAGCCTTCCATTGTTTTTATTCCTTCTTCACTTTGTCACTGACAAGGAAAATCCCCCAAAATAAAGAAAGGAAACCAGTATTCTCAGTCTGTATCAAAAAGTCTATTCTTCATCACAGTTTTGCTCCCAGAAGATCACTCTTCTCTGTCTGATCATCCTAATAAGAAAGAAATAGTGTGGCAGGACAAATTGTTTGTGTTCTGTTCATATGGCTGTCTGGGGAATAAAAGGTTCATCACAGCATAAATCAGCATCAGAACTTAATTTTAGCAGAAAAGCAGCTTGCAGTACCCACCTGCCTCCTCAGCTCCTGCTTGGAAACAATAATCACATTTGGAGGATCCCCAACAGCTGTGGCAGCCCCCCCAATATTTGTGAAGATTACTTCTGCAATCAGGACATGCCTTGGATCAAGATTTAGTACTTCACAGAGCCTGCAGTGTAAAGAAAATGAAATTAACATCTTACCCTCTGATCAAATTCCCTTAAATCTTAAAATCTATACAATTTACAAAACAAAGTTCTTCCAATGGAAAAACTGCAAGATGTTAAAATTAATACATCTGCATGCCCGTGTTTGTTGTGTATGACTGAACTTTAAATTTTATAAGCATTTCAGTAATTATAGAACTATCAATGTAAAATATGCATATATTTTACATTTATAACGCAATAGTCAATGGCAATGAAATTGATGTGCTTAAAAAAGCATTTAATTAGAAGTAATTAATTATCCCAAGAGTCAGGCTGTACAGAGAATTGCATTTCAAATTTAAAACCATATTCACAGTGTTATACACTTTCTCAGCCATGGGCCTCAGGTCACACCAAGATATGGGTAACCACAAGCTCTGCACTCATCCTCAGTTGTTGATTGTCATGTGGGGAGCAGAAGCAGAAGACAGGATATCTATCAGCCATGATTCATATATCAGAGACCTGTTTTCAGCCTAGCTTTACCTGGTTAATTCTTCTCCCAATTTTCCCCATTCCCTAAAGCCTGATGGTAAGGTGTGAGGCCAGGGTGATTTGGGACTACATGTCCTGTACTCACTTCTGACCACAGTGCAGGAAGGAAAATCCACTCTGCTTTTCAAGGGGCCGTTCAAAGGTTTAAATTATTGCCCCCTCCAACTTAATATGGGATACAGAAAAGGCTGGGCAGTGAGCTCTCATCCTAAGGATCTCATTCCTTGTAGCACTGCCAGTCATTTCCCTGAAGGAAGAGTTCAGCTTTATGGCTCTAAGTCTATATTATTAAAACCTATATTTCAAAGAGAAAAGTGTTGCACAGAAGCTTAACTTGATACACTTACCTGTCACCAGGATTATCAATTTAAAAACTGGAAAAAGCACTGTCAGCCAATACAAATGTCAGTACATAAAAAGTCCAGAACGAAATAACTGTACAAAAACTGCATTTATTTCCCCTAATAGTGTAAAATTATGCAGTTGAAGTGTGCTGTACAGTAGAAGTAGCCCAATTGTAACCGTTGTGGCACTATACCACAACCATACTTGTACGCTGATCTTCCTCACTCCTTCTTTTCCAGTGTTTGTAAAGTTAGCTTTCCTTTAGTGTTTGGTTTGTCTTTTTGTTGTTGTTTTTGTTTATGTGTATGTCCTGTTGTTGTTAGTGGCTTTTTTTTTTTTTTTTTATGAGTCCAGTGGTAACTTGAAGAATTAATCTCTGACGTACTCCAAGCAAGGCCAATCCTGAAGTACAGCACAATCCCAGTATGCAAACTGAACCAGTCGACTGAACTTTCTCAGCACACTTACCCCAATTATATGATTTCACATGTGAATAACTATAGCCTTTCCCAGTTCCCAGCAACAAAGTATCTTGAAAATAAACAATAGCTGAGAATGTTAGCTATTAATTATCAGCCTACTGCAAAACACGGAGAGAAACAAGCATCATGTTTTACATCTTATTAGTGACAGTCTAAATCCTTATATGCACAGAATGAGTGGCATTTTCTGCAGGCTTTTATTTCCACGGCAATGGCAGCACAGCGTGATGGATCAAAGCTTTAGGCTGAAGACAATGGCAGTGAGAAAAGATAAGAACAGAAAAACTGATTCCCACCATGAAGTTTCAGAATTACATAATTTCAGAAATAGGCAACTACTGGCTTAGAAGAGAGAGAAAATTATTTTTGCTTTGGTGATATTTTGCAACTTTGGTGTTACAAATGCATTTGGCATAAAATAGAATAAATGCTACAGTAGCTCTGCATGTGAAAAGTAGTTCATAATGCATTGGCATTTGGCTTTCAATTCATTCCCAGTTGCATTTAATACAAAATATCCTGCAACAGAGATAAATAAAACTCAGTGTTTAGTAATCGCTTACTGTTACAGGTGAAATCATTAATCGGAATAGGGCAAAGTGCTCTCTTCAAAATATAACCAGACAAAAAACAAATGAAGCTTTCATTTACGGTTTCCCTATCCAGAATAAATTGCACTTGCAATTTTATGTGTTTATTTTTGTGGTTTTTTTTGTTGTTGTTTGTTACTGTTTTATACTACCTCATAAAATAGGACCATATCCTAATAGAATTTTGTGTACTTTAATGTGACAGTAACTGCAAGTATTACATCACTTGGGATCATCTTAATCTCGTAGATCTTTCAGAAACTAAACCAGGTTAACTGGACACAGGTTAAATTCATGTTAAGCAGTACTTATAATTACACACTCATATAATGTAATTGCAAATCTGGTGCTATTAATTTACATAATCCTAAAGTAATTAAGTTGCTGTTCCAAATATCTAACCTTACATCATGAAATTGGTCTGCAACTGTACCAATGTCATAATCACCAGTAGGGAGAAAATTCAATTTCATATTCAGAAAGAAGACTTCTACTTGAAATCTGGAAGTATTCTAACCCCCACTAAAAGGGCTAAACTTCAGAAAAAAGAAAAAAAAATTAAAAGACAAAATAGTATTTAACCACTAAAGAACAAGGTAGCTTTAATTAAAAATATTCTCCCTCCTTCCAGGATGAAACAATATCACCTGCAAGGGATTAGTGGTACAATATGCTATTGCAGTTCAGATATGGAGACAAATCATAGCGATTAGCTGCCAAGGCAACTGCCAATGGAACAGGCTTCAGATATATACTCATCACCAACACTGAAGGAAAACGGCAACTCATCACTTTGAAAAAATCAGCTCTTTACCCTCCTAAAATAGGCGTATTTGAAGTTTTGATTTCCGTTTAGATGACCAAGAAAAGTCCAAACAAGCATGTTTGCACATAGATTTACTACTGATTGCTGGCTGTAAAACACTAAGTCCAAGACCATAACAATGAAGTACCTTATGGTTACTGGAGTAAAGAGCAACATTGTGGTAACGTTGTCCAAAAATGCAGAAAGAATTGCAGCAATAAGGCACAGAAGCGTAATCATGGCCCACACCTTGCCTCTAGAGAATCGATAAGCCTGATAAAAACAAACAAATAGCATCAAAATCAAAGGGCTGGAATGTTCCATCTAACTTTAGAAAAAATGACAGATAAACAACCTCACAACAGTGAAACAACAGTGAGCTCAGAGAAGCTCCATGCACCTCCAGCAGTGCCCTCTCTAATATTAATTAGTTTAGCAGTAAGACAATTCTCAGAAGTAACCAAGCAGAGGAAGAAACAAATGTGAAGAGACCCCATGCTCCACTGCCAGACACAAAGGGGGTCTGTGGTAGGAGCAGGGCTGAGTTCCCACTTTCTGCCTTTGAGGCTGAGTGGATTAGTATGGTTCAGCCCTCCCACCACCTCCACACAATGGGATACCTTTCCTGTCCTCAGAGAAGCACTGACAGGGCAATACAGCTTGGGCACCTATCCACCCACATTTTCTTTAGGTGTTCTTTGCTCAAAGCAGTCTTTTTTATTGCTTTTGTTTTATTTCTTTCCACAGTTCTCAAGAAAATTAAGTTTTGCAGCAGGTGAAGGAGTTCCTCAATATAGGTAATACTTGCTTTACAGCCAATCCATCAGAATTACCCTTTTCATGCATTCTTTGGTTCTACTGCTGTGCAAAGGTCTGTGGTCATTTATCATCTGTGATTGTAAAACTGATTGTTCCCATATTTCCTCTCTCCTACTGCCAGAGATAAATAAAGATTTTAGCTACAGAGGAACTACAGTCTTGGGGAAGTTAGTGGGATAATTCAGCTCTATATTGTTTATATACTTGTGTACCCTACTGGGGGCCTTTGCCTTTCTCCAGAAAAAAAAAAAAAAGAGGAAGAAAAAAAAAAAACCCACCTGAATTGCCTTAAGGGCTTCCTTTCATTCCTGAGAGATTTTTTCAAAATTACAAGATGACCACTGTCACTTGCAATATGATAGATGTAAACTGCCCAAAAAAAGTTCCTATTATACCAAGTCATATCACAGAAGATCTTACTAAATACTAACAATTAATTTAATAATAATTAAGAGTACTAAAACAAACCTACCTTTACTGCACAGTAATCAAAGAATCCAGTTTCTGAAAATATGGCCACTAAAACCATCTACCAAAAAATGAAGAAAAAAAATAATAGTTTGCAAATATTATTACACAAAAACAATGTGATGTACTTTATGTCCCTAAAAAATGTCTTTCATATTTGACAAAGTTTTGAGAATCTAATCATCATCATATCAGGATATCCAGTACAGCCGTCAGACACCTCAAATATCATCATATAGTGAAATTTTGTTCTCAATATAAACAGTCTCTAAATTAGTCTGGTTTAATTTATTTGTTATGACTAAGTAGGCATCATACATGAAAGATTCAAAGTATCTCCCTTATGTCATCAACCAAGGTAAGACAATAACTGTGAGTTTTCAGCAGTAATGCACTACAAAGTACGGAAGATACCAACTTCTGCACGTTCCAACATTTCTGGGAATTTGCCAGTCCATCCAACTTTGCCGCCAATAGATTTTATGGGTTTTTTTTGCTTTCTTTTTCTGTGGGCAGGACAGCAGGGTGGGGAGTATTGTCAGGAAATAAAAAAAGGCTCAGATTGTCAACAGATAGCAGCAATTTTGTCTGCATACACTGTGTATTCCATGTTAGAGTTAAACCACACTTTTGACCATAAATAGTTCTGGACAAAAGTGATTAAGATAATGTATTATTATAATCTGATCAAATATTTGTCCTCCTTTTCGAGTCTTCTCTTTTTGGTTCCAAACAAAGCACTGAGGCAACAGAAGACTTTTTTTCCAGCTAAGTGTGTTTGGGGAAGGTTTTGAGAAAACAAAATTAGTAAGACAAGTGATAATACTTGGCACTTAAACAGGTCTTTCCTATTATGAACCTCAATTATATTTTTGGTATGTTATCACAATTTTACAGAAGAAAAAAAGAACCTGAATCCAAATTTTCAAAGGTCCTTTCAGAGGTCTGTTCATAATCCTTTTGATAAACACCGTAAGGAATAAATTTTCATCAGAACAAATCCATCTAGATATTGAATGTGAGAATTTCAACATATTTAGAGCAGGAGATATATCTTAATTACCATTCCAAACAGTAGTGCCAGTGTCTCATAATCAATCCACTCTACCACTTTGACCATACTCGGCCTCTGCAATCAAAAAATACAATTACCAGTGAATACCATGGTGCAGCTAACTTGTGATTAGCTATGAAATACAAACTCCATTTAATTAGTGAGTCATTTAAATAAGCCACGAATGAAATTAATAAGCACTCCTTTAAGGCACACCAAAAATCTCTTATTATTTTATTACTATTTTTACTTCTACTACAACTAATTAAAAGTACTGCAACATCCTAAGTGAGTCATTATCAAAAGTCTACATTAAGTTCTTGGTTTATTTATCTATTTGCTCCTTACATAGCATTACAGAAATAAATGATAACAGAATTATATCGTACAACCCAACTTTTCTTTTTCCTTAGAGAACAAAAGCATATAGCTTTAGCTGCGAACAAGCTGGGGGGAATTTAAAGAAATGCAGCTTGATTGGTATATTAACATCACTGAAAATAACAGTGTTAAAGTCTGAATTAAACTGAAAATATCTGTAATCAGCTCCCTATAAATCAGAACAAAATGTATCAGTTGACTTTTCTCCTCTCCCTGTCCATACCCTAAGTTCTTCTGTTTTCCCTGTGATGTTTTTTCAACCCAATATCTTCCCTACCATCTCACTCTCTTTAAAAAGACCACTGCGTCCATTTGCAACATAACACTCTCTGGAATTTTTTATATCATAGAAAGAAACAAACTGAGTACTTCCAGTTCAATAACTTACCTCCCCAATAACAGCTAATGCAGCCAAAGCTGCCAAAGAGCCTAGCATCGCTGCAAGAGTCCTGTGAACGATCTGCAAGAAAAGAGGCAATCAAAGAATCCTTTTAGCATCTCCTTATTACTGAAAGAATAAAATCTCCTATAGTTGATTCTTTTTCCTTTCCTTCTTTCTTTTTTTTTCTTTTTTTTTTTTTTTTTTCCTTATTTTACCCCACTGTCCTCTCAAAAGAGGAAAAAACACCTGAGGAGGGAGTGGCTGATTACTTTGTCTCACTGTGGGATAAAGAAAAGGGATTTGAGCATGACTTTTTTTTTTTATTTTCCATCCATTCACCTGAGAAGGAAAGGAATCCATCTGCCCAACTTAAGAATAAAAATACTGGGCAACCCAGTCTGAGCTAGTCTTCCTGCTTTCCCTTCACAGCCCACAGGAAGAAGACACGACCAGGAGGTGATCCACCTCAATCTTTCTTTGTGCTTTTTCATCTCCAAATGAACTACAATGACTTACAAAGCAAGACTAAAGCAAATCTCTCAGACCTGAAGCAAATTAATCCTACAGAGACACACTAGATTGAGTTTCCAAGTCTACTTTGTAGTCTGGGGTGCAGACAGATCTCATAAGCTTGTGCACTTGCTTTTCCTCTCATACATGCATAGCAGTGTTCCTTCATACAGTGGCTTTCTACATTAGCATTTTCTCTACAAAAAGCTTTCAATTCAAGAAGGACATATACTTCATACTTCAAATATATACCTTTTTAACACTTCAACAGTTCATACAACATACAAACTTTTGTCCATGCCTATATATCCAATGAATCAATTGCACTTAAAATTCTCAAGGAGAAAGTATGAAAGCAGACATGCCCTGAAAAAAATTGCTTTTTCTCCTAGTGCTCATTTGTAATTATTTAATCTACCATGTCTGGAAGATCACAGATTGTGTAAAATAAGTCAATTAAAGTTAGAATGTAATTAATAATATTCACACTACAAAAGACTGAATCTAATCAACAGCATTTATTGTTAATGTGTCTAAATATTCAGACATAAGCCAGAATTATATCTGAGACAGAAATAAGGCAGTCTAGAAATATTTCTTTTTATGAGAAATATTTTGCTGATAAGAAACAATAGGATGCGAACATCTCAAGGCTCTCCCACCTACTTGGAAAGGAAAGGAAAGAAAAAAGGAGACATTTGGCTTTGATTTTTTCCTTGAACTTAAATTTTTTACAGTAACAATAAACAACAAAGCAACTTGGCAAGTGAATAGAAAAATAAACAATTTAACTGGCTAATCTTAGGATTCAATTGAAAAAATTGTCCTATCTTCAAAATGCATAGAAGAATAATTTGGTCATAGTAGCAAAGGAGGGTTTCTATGTTCTAATGGTATAATACTACATAGCACAGATTCCATCTCCAACAAGCTTCCACAAAAGTGTGTGGTAACTCATGATTATATCTACAGTCTCTAGGTACAGAGTGTTGATATGAATATACTTCTACGGCCTTTATGAAACTACAGTATTGAGGGGCATTCAATATACTCAACAACTAATGTCTGGCAACAGCATCTTGCAATTATGCCACACAGATCTCTCCAATGATAGACATGAAGCAGAGGCATTAACCAGGGAAAATCAGCTTCTTATCAAGACAAAGTAAAGGGTAAGATACTGGGCAATCCTCTGTTGTTCCTCAGACTAGAGGCTTTCTCCTCATCTAATCATCACTCTCACTGATTAGCTCCTTCTAATCAGAACTAATCAGTTCTGACAGTTCTCAGAAAAATGTCACAGGTTTTCCAAGATTTGATTGGTCTTAGGTATTTTATATTGTTACTTTTGATTTTTTCACATAAGACCTTTGTCTTTGTATTCTTAATTAACTATACTGGGTTGACTACATTTTCAGTTTCCATGAGCTTGCTGTGGCCGTCCTGTACTTGAAGGGAGCATATAAACAGGAGGGGGATTTACGAGGATGAAGAGTGATAGAACAAAGGGAATGGTTTGAAAGTGAGACAGGGGAGGTTTAGGTTAGATATTAAGAGGAAGTTTTTCACACAGAGGGTGGTGACGCACTGGAACAAGTTGCCCAAGGAGGCTGTGGATGCCCCATCCCTGGAGGCATTCAAGGCCAGGCTGGATGTGGCTCTGGGCAGCCTGGTCTGGTGGTTGCTGACCCTGCACATAGCAGGGGTGTTAAAACTAGATGATCATTGTGGTCTTTTCAACCCAGGCCATTCTATGATGCTATGATATGATCTTTGGGTAAAACTTGCTTTAATTTCTCTAGAAGGATGGGGGGAAGTATATAAATGGAGTAATCCATCAGTTCCTTTATCCTAGTGATTTTTCAAGGGGCCCATACAAAACATATCCTGAAGAATTAATCAAGACTATTCAGATACAAAGTTGTACTGCAAAAAAAATATTGTCAAGCATGCAACTCTTTATTTCAGCAAACTATCAAGTGGAAATTTCATAGCAAAATTAAAACTGGAAAGCACTGAGACATATAATTATTCAAAAGATGAGTTTTGGAGGAGGCTTCAGAAAAAGTGGATGACTCTTTGATTTTATTTTCACATAAAGCAAACCATAAACAAACCATTTATTTGTATGTGCATTTTAAAAGCTTACAGAAGGAGAAAGTAAGATATACCATTCATAAGCTATGCCACACTGAACCACAGTTCCATCTAATGCCTATACTATTTTTATCTCTGGAAAATCTCACATTCAGAAGGCGTCATGTTAGGCAAAAAATCATTATTGTTCTTTTGGAAAATAGCATGGACCCAGTCCAAACCCTTGGGAAGTCTGAAAAGAAGATAAACATCATTTCAGAATGAATATCAGAATCCATAAGCAAAAGCTCAGGTACAGAATTGAAAGAGCTCAGAAATTAATTGACACAGACGGTTAGCCTCAGGAAAGCTGAGAGATTTGATGGACTTTTGAACGCAAAGAAATTTTGCAAGTTTACGTGTGAAACCATCCGTATTCATTTGATCCTTCTCATCCTTGAGAAAACATATCTTTATGCTACTTCATAAGCAAAGACAATTAAGCTGAAAGAACAGTGATTCATAAGGATTTCCCCTTTCAAGTTGGAACTGTCTATAACATCACAGATATTGGTTGGCCCAAGCATGATTAGTTTGGATCCCAGTCATTGCCAGAGACACACAGGCTTTGGGTAACTGAGAGGCATAGTTTTGGTTGCTTCGGCTGTAATACATTTAAGCACAAGACTCTGTACAATGTATCCTCATCAAATACATGATGTAATCAATAATTCTTATGTATCTTTCTTTGATACCTAAACGTTCCTCCCTATTTCATCTCTCCTTTCCAAAACCCATCCCCATCACTGATAACTTCTTGTCTGGACTACTGTTCAGCTACACTTCATTCCTTTGACAGAAAACACCACCAAAATTCTTTCCATCCTGCAGACGTCATACCAGTACCTCTTTTTCATTCTCTCTCCAACACGCCTCTTATCCAAATGTCCTTTTCCGTTCCTCCTCATTCTGTCAAAGCCAAATGCCAAAGGAATATCTTACTTTCATCTCACCCATTTCTTCCATCCTGCAAATGGATCCCCACATTGTGATGATTTTAGACCACTCCATGAAATGCATTTCCTATAAAAGCTAATTTCCTGAAAAGATTTCTTTAAAAAATCAAGTATCAGCCATTGAGAAGGAAAATCAAAATGGGCAAGGAGGATGAAAGTTTGCATGCTAGAGATCCCCACCTCATTTTACAATCTCTTCATAGAAAGGAAATCTTCACCATCATCCCTGTCTTTGTCTGCAGAACAGAACACCTAGCATTGCTCAACTGGTGAAACAGCAAAGGATAGCACTTATCTTTTACAAAGTGATAGTTAATTCAATACAAACTGCTACTGAAAGCAAGGCAGCACAGGTTTTAATATTTTCAATGCACAAATCAGGCCCAGAGGTCACTGATACAGGATATCATTTATGTTGAGAGTTGAGAAACAGAATGAAAATTTACACAATTTTATATAAGCAATTAAAACACTCAAAGATGCAAAAATGGAGCCTGTTAAAAGTAGTATCAGCAATGTGGGCATCATGACAGCAATACTTCAGAGTCATACCATAACGTGAAATCATAATAAGGAGAGATCAGAAATAGTTTTATAAGAATTTTATTCTTAATTATCTATAGAAAGCTTGTCTCTTATCTATAGAAAGCTTGCCTGCTGTGCGATAGTGTGCCAAATGCTGATTTTGTATGATAGTTTCCATACTCTAAATTGAGAATTTAAGTCTAACATAAGAAATCAAAACAATCCAAATCAATTATGCAACAAGTATGCTGTGCTTGAAGTTATTCAAAAATATGCATTTCCACAGCTTTAATGAAAACTGGATTTACACAATCTAGAGCTTTGTCATGTTTAAATCTCTTTATCAATCTGAAATGCTTTCAAAGTGCTTTTTAAAGTTTTGTACAAAGTTCATCAGATTTCTTGGTAGACTACAATAACACCATTATAAAAATGATCCAAAATTCTACCATTTTATCTTGTAAAGTGCTCCAGGAGGCAAACGGAAATTATTTAGGAGACGAGCAAATGGTGACCTGTATGCTATTTCAGAGCATACATTTCCTAGCTGAAATCTAGGGCATGCATATTTCTAAAATGTGCTGCTGAAGATATTTGATAAATCATACATCACACCCAATATTTTATTTCCACCAGTCTTTCTTTATAAGTGATAAATGGTAGTTGAAAGATGACTGTCAGTGACTTTAATGTAAAGCTTCAAATGCAGCCTCAGTTCATTTCTTATCCTTCTGTTTTTTTTCTCCACTGAAGCCTATTGCGTTAAAATACTTCTTTTCCAGAAAAATTCATTTTCACATGATAGACTGGCAGCACTGCTTCATTTCAACAGGAGGTGGTTATTCACAAACCTTTATTTACATATGAGCTTTATACATTTTCCACCCACCTCCACAGCAGCTGAGACCTTTGCTATAAAACCCACAGCCAAATCCCTCTTAGACTTCACAA